TAAGGGGCCCTGTCCCATTCTAAATTCCCCTCACCTCAGCTTTTACCTTAGCAAGTCTTGGTGGCTTACCTGGCTGTGTAACCCACACCTTTCTTCCTGAGACACCTGGGTCCAGGAGAATCACATCTTTCTCAGGCTGGGGCTGCTGCATGTACTCATTAATTGACCACACTCTTAGGAGGTTGGGAACAGCTGGAAACAGAGGTTCTTTTCCTCTTTGTATTTTTTGTTTGTTTGTTTTTTGAGACAGGGTCTCACTATGTAGTTGAGACTGACCTGGAACTCACTATGTAGCCCAGGCTGGTCTCGAACTCACAGCAGTCCTCCTGCCTCAGCCTCCCGAGTGCTGGGATTAAAAGCATGCGACACCACACCTGGCTTTCCTCTTTGTATTAAACATGAGCCACCAGTTTATAGGGATGGATCCTTTCATACCCCACTGATTCATGGAAGAAATCATGAGAGTAGTAAGCAGACATTAGCAACATACTGAACAATACCATTCACAGGGCCCCAGGGTCCCCTGAAGAAAAAGCCTTCACACTGATTCCCAGAAAGCCCTGTGACACAAGTAGGTGTTCGGGCAGAGCCAGCCAAAATGTGACTCAGCAAGATTCAGAAGGAAAAGGAGAAGTGGTTTATTAGGTGCCTCCCTGAGAGTAAATAATGTCCCAGGTACTAGATACTTTCAAATAAATGACTCAGTTGGCCCCATTGCTTGTCAGTGCTGCCTGATAGGTGGATTAGATTTGTCTTGTGGTCCTAGGAGAGTAGTCACTCTATGTCCTCTTCAGAGGGCGCTTTTTGAGAAACGTGTACCTGTACCTTCTCAGGTGCTCCATCCTGGCCCCCGGATGCTCCTTAGATGTGGAGTAGGATGCCAAGGGCCCCAGATGCTCAGGCCCAGACATTCAATAGTCTGGCCTGTACAGCAGCTTGCACTCTGGAGTTGGACTCCAGCAGCACCAAGGAGTAGGCGCTCTAACAACCAGAAGTGCCATCCCAGGCAATGGTCACTGCCTGTTGGATCCATAACTGCTCAGCAGTTTTTACTCATGGTTCACTAGGAGCAGGAGGCAGGACATGCCAGTACTGGCCCACATGACGAAGAAGCAGGGTTGGCTGGGGCAGGAGGAGAGGGGAACTGTGGGTCAGAGCCTGATGTGGTTTCCTCAGAAAAGAACTGGTGAGGCAGGGTAAGCAGGTTTAAGACTGTCTCATTTGAATAGTTCCAGTGGGCTCTGGTGTAGGGGCACTTTGGTGTGATTAAGGCAGAGTAGAAGAGCCACAGCAAGGAGGTGGTTAAGGGCATGGGCTCTGGACTGGCTGGTTTGAATATAAGAGGCAGGCCCACAGGCAAGTTCTCTAAGAACTAGATGGAAGAGTTGGATGTGATGAACCTTGATTCCTGGAGAACTGTGGTTTCACCATGGTTTGGGGCTGCAGCTGTACTGTAATCAGTCACTTTGACAAAAGTTAATGGTGGATTTTTTGGGCTGGTGATTTAGCTCAGTGGTTCTGCTGCCTGCTTCGCAAGTGTAAGGTCCCGAGTTCAATCCCAGGCACCAAAATAAATAAATAAATACATACATACATATAAATAAAATAAAATAGTGGATTTTTGAAATGGTGGATCTAACTCCCAGATAGTTCACTGGATGCAGAGTAACAACAAAGAAACTAAATATATCATCATGCTCTTGTTATCTGTAGAAGCTAAAATAAAAGCAAAAGTGTATGTTATGACAGATCCTGTGATTGGGCCAAGATTGGGCCAAGCCAGAGCTTGGATCACTATAAAGGGAGAAAATGATCCTGATTCAACAGTGTAGATGAAGTGATTCACAGAACAATGGGGACAAACAAAGGAGATAGTGGAGGGACTCATTTCAGCAGTATAGACATCTTTAGGGTTTTTTGTTTGTTTGTTTGTTTTGATACTGGGGTCGAACTTGGGACTTTGCGCTTGTGAAGCAGACGGTGGAACTACTGAGCTAAATCCCTGGCCCCAATGTCGTGACATCTTTATTTTTATTTTATTTTATTTTTTTGGTACGGGGGATCGAACTTGGGCCCTTAGGCTTGCAAGGCAGGCAGTGGAACCACTAAAATCCCCAGCCCATATGTTCAAATTCTTAAGGGCCTACTGGGATGGTTGAACCTTCACTCCAAAATTGGGGTCAGAGCCAGGCATGGTGATACATACCTGTAATCTCAGCTTTTTTGGGGGGTACCAGGGAGTGAACTCAGGTCCTTGTGCTTGCAAGGCAAGGGACCAGAACCACTGAGCCAAATGCCCGGCCCTGTAATCTCAGCTCTTGAGGAGACTGAGGCAGGAGGATCACAAGTTTAAGCCCAGTTTGGGCAATTTAGCAATTTACTGAGTCCCTGTCTTAAAAAATAAAAAGGGCTTGGGGATGTAGTTCAGTGTGAAGGCCCTGGGTTCAGTCCCCAGTACAGAAAACAAACACAAACTGGGGCCAACAGTGAGTCTACTGTGTTGCTTCATGGTGGAGACAGCCCACTGGTGTGTACCCATTTAGCCCCCCTGTCTGCACTTGATAGGCCAAGAGGGAGGTGCTAGCTAGGCTGGTATTACTACCAGCAATCAGGACTAGCACAGTAGCCAAATCTCATGTCCCTTTCAAAGGTGGAAAATTTGGGGTACAAACAAAAAGGAAGAATAATAGAAGCTGAGAGTAAAGGAATGAATAAGTGGATTATGCAATGAGGAAAATCCAACAACACCTTGAAAGATGCTCTGGCAGGAGATGACCTGGTCTCTTAGCTCAGTTATACCAGACAGTTGAAAGAGTGAGGCTGTGTGTTTAGACCACCTCTACTTGTGGAATCAAACATTTTGAACGGAGACCTGGGTTGCTCCATGGCTAAGGAATGTTACTCTCTGGGAAGAGGAGAGGATGAGTAATGTGGGAGAGACTGGGGCAGGAGCCCAGGGATGAAGCTGAACAATGTCCAGGTCTACAGTTTTTTTAGCTTGACTCTTCCCCTTGGCTCTTAAGGTAAAGCCCCAACCCCTCAATGTGGTCACTCAGCCCCCTTTGAAGCCCCTGCTTTCACTTTACTTGCTTTATTCCTTCCCCGTGCTGGGAACTTTTCTCTAAGAACCTGCTTGCTGCTATAGTACCCTGAGTCTAAGACCAGGCCACATGGTTTCCAGATGTCTGACTGGGTTTGTGCCTGCATTGTGTGGGTGCTGTTGCTAGTGAAATAAAATTGGAAATCCCTTCAAAAGCCTTGTGACTGCTTCTTAACTGATTGCACAAGGAAGTCAGGTACCAATTAGCTTTTTCTCAGTCCAGACAATTGAAGTGTCAGCCTGCATTATGCTTTTTGTTCTGTGTAGCCACACTGGCCTTTCAGTCTACAAACTGCTACATTCCTTTCAACCCCGGGGACCTTTGTACATGCTCTTTGGTCTGAAATTCTGTTTCTTCCCTCCTGTACATAGATTACATATTCATGTATTTCTCCAGCCTCCTCTGACCTGCTTGATTGGATAAAAATGTCCCTTAGGATGTGCCCTCAGTATTCTTTTCCAGTGAGGGCCTGCCAAAGTAATAAAATATTTCTTGAGTGAATGGACAGGTGAATGAGTTGGTGATTTCTCTGGTGGTGACTCTTAAGAGAACCTCCACGGCCTGACTGACATGTGCCTGTGTTTATCTGGGGCTCTCTTTATACAGAATCTACCCTCCCCCGCCCTTCCCCCAATTCCTGCTAACTCATTCTCAGGCCTGGCAGGAATGCCCCACCTAGTTACCAGCTGCTGTTACCTTCCTGTCCTGGAGGTGTGGCTATGCCTGCTGGTGTGCCACTTAGGAAGGTCAGCAGCTACTGCTCTGGAGGGCTCGGAAAGTCACTTCAAAAAGGGCTCATGGTTTCTGTGTAAGTCACGCTCCAGAAAGGCTGTTTGGGAGGAAGAAGTTTGTGCCTGCTTGCACCGGCCTTAGGGGCAGTTGCCTCATACCAGAGCACTACAACGTTGTCGCTGGACCTCCAAGTTACACATGGTTGAGTCAGCAGTGACAGGAGAGGAGTCCCAATTGCTCAACTTCACAATTTAGGGCTCCCTAAAAAGCGAGAAGGCGTATTTCCAGGGTATGGTCTGGCTTGGGAAGCTGTTAGGCCACTGACGTCTCGGAGCTAATAGTGGCTTCCTGCTGCGTGGGGGGGCGGCAGGAGAATATTCCTCCTCCACACCCTAGGAAGTTGAGGCCCAGCCGGAGCCTATGGGGGGCAGATGGTAGGCAGGCGTACGACAGACCCTGGAGCTCAGGAGCTTCGTCCTCGTCCCCTCCGCCAGCGCCTGCGCATTGTGGCCCCTTTTCCAATTCAACCCCGCCTTCATCACCCGGGTTTTCAAATTTGAAACCTGCTTTTTTTCCCGCCCGAGCTTGTGGACCAGCAGCGGGAGAAGGCAGGACCGCGCACCAACCAATCGTACTTCAGAGGCTCTTCGGCCCCGCCCGGAAGATGACGACAGCAAGCCCCAGCAGGCAACCCGCCAATGGGCGAGTGACGCCCGGCAGACCCCGCCCCCCAGCTCTCGTGATGACCCGGGAGGGTCAGGAAATTCTATGGGCTCAAGCCGCTGTTCTAAGTATTCGGCTTACTTCACTAGCTGGGAACTGTGGCTCAAAGACGCAAAGGAACCGTCGGGGTCGCTAAGCGAAGCGGGGAAGACACATTAACCCCCAATTTGGGGGCGGGCTCGCCAAAGGGCCAGACCTGGAGCAGGCGCCAGTACCTGGCCCGAGAGAGACTGAGGCCTCTCCGGGCGAGCTCTCCAAGGGTGGGCTGTGGTTCCAGACATGGTCCGGGGGGCTGGGCCAGAGGCTGGGCGTTCCCGAAGGAGGGGCGTTCTGGGGGCGGGGCCTGACCCCTATTTGTTGCCCTGTGTCAGTTACATTGTAACAAAAGTGGTACAGCCGCTGCTCTAGCTCGCCTAGCACCCTAGGCCCGCCCGCTGCCAGCTGTAGCCGACATGGAACCAGTGGCCAGCAACATCCAAGTCTTGCTGCAAGCAGCGGAGTTCTTGGAGCGCCGCGAGAGAGGTGAGAAAGAATCCGGGCGGGACTCCTGGGCAACAACTTGGCTCACGCTGACCTTGGCTCCCAGTTGGAACGATCCATTGCTCGAGGGCAGTAACTCTGGGGTGCTTCCCCGGCCCCGAACTCGAGAGGATCCGCGGACAGTCTGGCAGGGAGGGTTTGGGGAGATGATCCCGGCGCCAAAACCAGACCATGTCCTGCCAGGGGCTTCTGCTGGGACGAGTCCAGCCCCAGCCTGACATTGGCTGGGAACTCTCTCTGGCAGAGGCGGAGCATGGCTACGCGTCTCTGTGCCCCCACCACAGTCCAGACCCCATCCACAGGAGGAGGAAGCGACCCCCACAAGCTCCTGGCGCTCTGGACAGTGGGCGGTGAGGAGATCTTGGGTGATGGGACGGGTGGGCGTTGTCCCTCCTAGGCCCGTCCTGTGCCCACTTCCTCCTTTTTGCATCTTCTAGACCAGGTACCCTGCCCTGAGGGGCATCAGACTCCCTGCCATCCGGCCAAATATGCATTTATTTTCATTCATGGACTACTTCTTGGGCACCTTTGATGTACCAGGAAGTGTGAACGAGACTGTTTTGGGTCTCACTTCCACTCACACACCTACACTCCACCACTCCACACATCACCTCCCCCTCTTCTTTTTCCTCAGTGCATCAACCTTTTGCCTGTGCTCTTCCCTCCACTACCTGCTGTGGGAAATTTGTTTTGTGCTCAGCTCAACTCTCTGTCCAGGAAGCCTTTGTTGCTTGGTTAGCAGGGGAACCCCATTTGGACCCTTACAACCACCTGTGCAGGACTTAGCATTTGGTTCTTTGTGATGTCTGATTCTTCTTGCCCTTACCTGGGGGCTGTGGTGCTTGAGGCCAAAAAAACAAGATCCTCACAGACAGATTGTTCCGGGCAAATACCTGCACCCTTAGGGGTCCTGGGGCTTAGGGTGAGGCCAGTAGCTGACAGCCCCTCACCTCATCCTCCCTGGTATTGGCAGATCTGTGCACAATGAGCTGGAGAAGCGCAGGTGAGTTCTACCCAGGCCCTGCAGCACCAAGCCCCAGGAGCCACCTCCCTCTGGCCTTCCCTTCTTTGCTATCCCTCTGGCCTTCGACCTGGGACTTGTACTGCCCTCCAGACCCTTCCCCCCAGGAGGGCCCAGCTGAAGCGGTGCCTAGAGCAGCTGAAGCAGCAGATGCCCCTGGGGGCTGACTGTGCCCGATATACCACACTGAGCCTGCTTCGCCGAGCAAGGATGCACATCCAGGTAAGGGGGGGCCCTTCCCTGGACCCTGGGGCCAGTTTGCCAGGCTGTGTGGAGGAATGTGGTATGGAAGGCTTGGGTAGAACTAGGGGAAAGGGCCGTACATAGACCAGCTGTGTGACTTGGAGAATTCTCTGTACTGTTTCTAAAATTATGGAATTCCCGGGAAGAAAAGCGGAATGTTATTCTGAGGCTTCAGCGAACTCACCCTGTAAAATGTTCATTGTTTTTGTTTGTTTTTGGTACGGGGGATTGAACTCAGGACCTTGCGCTTGTGAGGCTGGTGATGGAACCACTGACCTAATCCCCAGCCCTGTTCATTGTTTATTGCTGCTATTATTCTTAGATTTCAGCTGCTTAACCTTGGGCAAGTCACTTTAGCCTGTCTGGACTTCCATTTCCTCTTCTATTGCTGTGGGAAAGGTTCTGTGATACATTTTATATAAAGGTCCCTTAGATTGTAGGGGGCTGTCCCTGTTCTCCGGCCCCCATCCTTCAAGGCCTCCCATTCTAGGCTGTCTGTCCTGATGCTTTTCTGGGATGCAGTTACAGATATGAGAAGGGGAAAGGACTGAGAAGAGCCAGCTGCAGCCACACATGGTGGTGCACACCCAGCACTCAGCTGAGATTACATTCACATGGTGTCATCTCAACACTCTGGGAGGCTGAGGCAGGACTGCAAGCTCAAGCCCAGCTTGGGCAATTTAGTGATTTAGCGAGACTGTATCTCAAAATAAAAAAGGGCTAGATTAGCTCAGTGCAAAGGTGTTAGGTTTAATCCCCAGCACTGAAGGGGGTCGGGGAAGAAGATGAAAGGAAGGAAGAAAGAAAAGAAAGCTAGCTGCCTTAGCTGGTTTGCACTCCCTGGTGGACAGAAGTGGTTGTGCATGGCCAGGTATTTAGCTCAGAGGTTTGGTGGCCTGCCTTGCAAGCACAAGGACCCGAGTTCAATCCCTGGTAAAAAAAAAAAAAAAAAAAGTGGTTGTGCAAACCCAAAGGATCAGGCAGCTTCTGCAATGTAAGCATTAGAAGTTGTCTTGGAAACAATAAATTTTCCTGTCTTTGTGGCCTTTTTGACAGGGGAAGAAAGGAGGCACAGCTTGTCTAAGGCAGGTGGCATAGCTGAGAGGCAGATTCAGGACCCAGGCCCAAGTTTGATTTGTATTCCTTCCTTACACAAATATTTATTGAGCACCTTCTCTGCCAGGCCCCATTTTAGGCACTAGGAGCCATAGCAGGGATAGATCCATGTACTTTCCAACAAATAAATCACAGCTGTGGGAAGTACTTGCTCTGTCTCATAGATGCCCGTCATCCTCCTGTGGCTAAATACTCTGGTTGGCAAATGGAGCTTGCCAGGCCTGCTTTTCTCAGTGGATGATGTGCTTCTCAGATGCTGGCTGGCCCATGGACAGGACCTGAGAATTGCTCCTTCCTTGAAACCCCATCCCTCCTCTCCTGAACTAATACACATGGCCTTCTTGCTTTCTGTTTGGCTTCCACTGATCTGCCTTCCACTTCACCCCAGACTGACCTTTGCTGTGCACAGATCTGGCTAGGTCCATCTCCATCTGAAATTCCTAAAAGGACAGTCTGTCTCTTTCTTCCTGTGAAGCTAATTTGATTTTGTGTTTTTTTATTTGGTACTGGGGATCGAACTCGAGACCTTGTGCTTGTGAGGCAGGTGTTGGAACCGCTGAGCTAAATCCCTGGCCCCTTCCCTGTGAAAAATAATGCCCATTCCAACTGAAGTCTTATTAAATAGCTTTTGGGGGCCCCCTCCCTCACCAACACACAGAAAAAGCTCAACTTTCTGTGCTTCTCTGGCTCCCTCTTGGTGCTGTGCCATCATTGTCTGCACAGCTCCTACTCATCCTTTTGTCCGAGTGCCACCTCAGCCCATCCTCCCCTTCTTAAGTATATGTAGTCTTTGTCTACCGAGGGCTGTGCATGGGAGAGCCCTTGGATTTAGAGATCCTGAACTTGAGGTGTGGCAAAGCATAGGGAAGGATCCTGGGAGGATCCTTGTTAGGAGTTACAAACTGCTAGCCTTTGTTTAGTCTGTAGTTTCCTAATAATGGAAATTAGTTGGCAGCACAAAGGACATCTAATTTGAAAAATCTGGCTTTCCAGCTTCTGCGAAAGAAATGGAAGATCTGGCAGTGCTAGGCCTGTTGCCGTGGCAGTTACTGTTACCTGGAGATGGTTGCTTCAGTGGGCCAGAGTATTCACCTGTCAGGATGCCTTGTTCCCCATCCTTACTGCCATACCCCACTTCATCACTTGACTAAGCTCTGAAGGCATCTGAGATTGGATAGTGTGCCCCCACTGCTGTGCCCATTTAGACAGATCACCTCTGGGTATGGAAGGGCAGAAGGCCAGCTTGCTAGAGCATATGGAACCTCTCCGTGGGGCCCAGACTTAGATGGTGGCCAGACTAGACGGAGGCACCTCGTGGCTTCAGCCCAGTGCCAAGTGGCCAGAGGCCCAGCCTGCTGACCCCAGCCTCTGCTCTTATGGGTTCTGCAGAAGTTGGAGGAGCAGGAGCAGCGGGCCCGGTGGCTCAAACAGAAGCTACGTAGTAAACAGCAGAGCCTGCAGCGGCAGCTGGAGCAGCTCCAGGGGCTGCCAAGGGCAGGGGAACGGGAGCGGCTGTGGGCAGACAGCCTGGATTCCTCAGGGCTCTCCTCTGAGCGCTCAGACTCTGACCAAGGTGAGTGCCCCAAAGCCCAAGGGGTGAGGGCCATGTGGGTGGGCCCAGGCTTCTGACTGAACCCTCCCTGTGCAGAGGAGCTGGAGGTAGATGTGGAGAGCCTGGTGTTCGGGGGTGAGGCAGAGCTGCTGCAGAGCTTCAGCGCAGGCCAGGAGCACAGCTACTCACACAACCCTCTCACTTGGCTATGATGCTCACTGCCCCAACTGCCCTCTGCTCACACTGGGCTGAGCCTGCTGTGCAGGAGCCCTCCTCAAGCCTTGAGGGCTGCTTGGAGCCATTTATCTGTCAGAATGGACTAAAAGGACACTTACATGGGAACAGGTAACATGAACTTTGCTGCTGGCTACCAGGTGGGCCCTCCTGTGGGGTTGGGGAGGCACCCAGGCCACGCCAAAGCCCCACAGAACAGGCAGCTTGGGGCTTCCAAGCATTTTTTGTAGCACTTGTTTGTGCTGCCCCATAGGGGGAGAAGCTTCTCAGACCCTTGTTTCTTCCTAGACAAGACCCCCGGCCTTCACCCCATATACTGTACAGTATTTTCATTAAAAGCTTCTTTCATAACTTCCCGTTCATGGTCTTGCCTGACAAAAACGGAGGAAGTCCCAACCACAACTGGAGAAGAGGAAATAAACTCAGTAGCCACCACCAAAACCCACCATGCTGGGGAGTGTGCATTTAACCCTCACAACTTGAGGCTGTTGTTTCTGATTTGATGGGTATGGCACTAAGGCAAAGTCATGTGATTTGCCTGAAGTTCAAAGCCAAGAAACAGGAATCTGAATCCAAATCCAAGCTTTCTGACTCCAGAATGGGGACTGATTGAATTCAGCAAATATTTATTGAGTGCCTGTTAGGTGCAAGATATTGTTCCAGGTACTTGGGTCACAGAGAATGAAACAAAGAGCCCTGCCCTTGCAGAGCTTACAGTTGGTCATTTACTGCCACTTGACCTGCATTCTGTCCGTGACCTTGGGCAAATCTCTGCACCTCTGTGTCTGTCATCAGCTGCCCAATGGGGGAATAAGCAGGATGGGCTCAGATGTGGATACTGTGGTGGGCTGCAGATGCTGATGGGATACCTGCCCAACCTACCTCCCAGACAGTACAGAGGGCTGAAGTTGATTTTTAATAGACAATGAATGGGAAGAGGGTGACGGGAGCAGCGCCATGCTGGCCAGTGACCTATGGTGGTACTGGTGGCAGGAGCCCACACCATCTACACGAACTGCTGCTGTTGCTGCTGCTGCTTGGTGGCAGCCTTGTTGGCGAGGTCTTTGGCCTTCTCTGTAGCTGCCAGTGCGGTCTCCTTTGCCTTCTCCTTGGCTTCCTTGGCTGTCTCAACAAGTGTTTTAGAAGGGGCCTCACCTGCAGTAAAGGGAAGGGGGCTTCAGATGATGCCCAGAAGACCCACCTAATCACTGTTCTTATGTACACTCCCCACTCTTCCAACAAGGAGTCCCAGGCTCGCAGTAGAGACTGGCCCAGATTCTATGCTGATAAGGTTCCACCAATGGTGCCCAGAGCTTACCTTGCAGCTTGGCCAAGATGTATTCAAAACCCTTCATGGTCTTGGTCACATTACTTTTGAACCGGGCAAGGCCAAATTCCTGGCAAAAGAATGAGGAGGGGAAGGACTGGGAGCTGCCCACTGACCCCTAGTCCAGCCTCAATGCCAAAAACCCTGGGTCCTACAGCTGCAACTACCCTACCACATGCTCACCTGGACAGCTCTGGAGACGCCAAATAAGCTAGAGGAGACCCAGGCTTCCCGGCGGATTTCGGTCCAGCCACTGTTGTCGGAATTCACACAGTAAACACATCGTTCCTCCACCACCTGTGCGGGGAGCCAGTCCAAGCACATTGCAGGGGTGTCTTCTGCTCTGCCAACTTGATCCTGCCTCTTTGCTACGCTGCCCCAGCTGGCCCCAGATACCTTACCTCGGCATCCAGAGTAGCAGGTATGAATGCACCACTACACTCAGTCCCTTGCCTCCTTTCCTAAGTGGAAATAATGAAAAACCTATTTCTTCTTATCATACCCTCAAATGGCACTTACAAGGGAGCCACAAGAAAAGGCATTTTGTCTTTTAAAGCCTTTCTACTGACCTTTAAAATCAGAAGGCACAAGGTTTCCTGGGATTAGCAGAGGGCTGACAGACCTAGGCTTTATTTTGAGTCACTGGGTCCAGACATGTATTTTTACTGTGCCTTCCATCCACTGCAGCTCTGGAGCTTTCTGATAGTCCCCGAAAAAATGGACAGATATCTGATAATCATCACAGCTCTTATCAGAGAGGAGAAAGTAGATGGATACGTCCCGAACACTTATGATACTTCTCACAAATGGATCCCCATTTTGGTAATTTATCAAGCAGAGGCTGTGCCTTCAGGCGGTCATCTGAGATGACACCGAATAGCACAGGCAGAAGGCAGCACTCACCCTGTGACTTTTTAGAACATGTCTCCTCTCTGAATCTCATTTTCTTGGGACAAATGAGTAATCCCCACCTCTCAAAGTTACGAGGATAAGCTGAAAGAATTCCCTGAAAGCCAGCAGGGTATTCACATATGAGAAAGTATTTTATTAATGACATTTAAACCAGAGATATTCAAGTTTTCCTTTTCTCTCTTTTTTGAGGCAGAGGGAACTGAATCCAGTGTATTTTACCAGAGCTACATCCACAGCCTCTTTAAAAATTTTTTGAGACAGGGTCTTACTAAGTTGCCCAGGCTAAACTCAAACTTTTTGCCTCAGCCTCCCACAGTGCTGGAATTATAAGAATGCACCACAAAGCCTGGCTTCAAGGATTTGTTTGGGTTTGTTTTTTCCCCTCTCTCCTGGTATTGATGCCAGAGCCTTTGCTCTGAACTACAACTCTGATCCCTTTTTTTTTTCTTCCCAAGACTAGGTCTCACTAAGTTGTAAAATTGCCCAGGCTGGGCTTGAACATATGATCCTCCTACCTTAGCCTCCCAAAGTGCTGGAATCACAAGCATGCACCATCATGCCTTATCAGCTTCAAGCATTTTTAAAGCACAAGAGATCAATGGTAGGTAGAACCCCTTTTCTTAAACTCTCACGCAAAAATGCCTTTAGTAAGACAGAAAAATATGGAACTCCCTGAGTTAAAACAGGGCAAGGGATCTAAAGCTTCAAGCACTGGGGAACATGCAAAGCACATGATGGCTTTATGGACTCCCATCTGAAATCCCTCCCTCAGCATTATACCTGTTGGTTAGTATCTGGAGCAACTCTGTGAAATGGTAACCCTTCCCCACTGTATGCATGAAGGGACAGGTCCACAGAGGTTGACTAGCTGCAACAAAGATAATTTGAGGGTATACCCTTGTAGCCATTGTTCCTCAGCAATCTAGACCTATCTCAGGCCACAGACGCTCCCTTGGAACTCTAGCTGTATAACTGAGGAGCAATCTACTTTTGCAGGGACCAAGGGAAGCCTTACCATCAGCCGGGCATGGTTGATGTTCCAGGTGAAGGTGGTCATGGTCTGATTCTGTGGGTCCACTATAGAATCCTCCAGGATGTACACTGAGTGAGCAACGTTGGCAGGAAACAGTCGCTCTGCCCAGCGGGGCATCCTGTTGGTCTTGGTCAGGAGTCTCCGGGACAGGAGCTTCTGGTCAGGGGTCACCTCTCGGTGTACTATGTCTTCAGTCAAGACGTGTTTGCTGCAGGTATCAGAGTGAAGGGGACTTTCAGAAACCTGCCCATGACAAGACTGCCTAGTGGGGTTTCCATTTGTGTGCCTCTAGGCCGCGCCTTCCTGCAATATTGCAGAGTGATCTGTGCCGTGGTTCAGAATGAAGTACCTTGAACCCATCCAGGGCAAATTCCAATTCCTTACTTTTCCCTGACCTAATTCCTGAGTCTTCCAGCCGAGGTATTTGCTGCATGATTTGCTGCACCACTGAAGAACACCATCGGCAAGCAGGTAGGCAAATACCAGGATTTCCAACCCCAAGAGCCCTCTCAGTTCGCGTGCCCTCCCCCTCTTCCTATCTTGCCACCCTGAGAACCTTAGACTGGGGCTTCAAATAAATCACCACCCATTCCTGGCCAGACAGGACTCCCCAACAAGGTCTTCGTACCCTCAAGTCCGCCATGGTTCCTGAGATCCTCCGAGTCAGACGGGATGTCGTGTCCTTCCTGGCCTCTCAGTAGCTACACACACTTTGATCTTCAGATAGCTAAGTTGGGAGGGAGTCTGCTCTTTCCGGGGTCACTTACCTGTAGGGATTCGGATACCGCTGCCAAAAGGCAGCGAACACTTGGTCCCAAGAACTTCGGAGCACGCTCTGGCCCAGGAAATACTTCACCATCGTCCCGGCCTGGGTGAGCTCAATATCAGTGCAGCATCAGGGGTGCGGAGCCCGGAGGGCACGCGGAAGCCGGGCCGGGCTCGGCTCACGCCCGCCAGGTTCGCAGCTCAGTCACCAAC